TCAGGGCGGCGGGGAGCCGGCGGGACCCGGGCCGCGCTCGCAGTCCGTAGACCCGGAGGTTCCAAGGACACCGCTGCCGGGCCGCCTGTCCCGGAAAGGGTCGCTCCGCCGGGCTGCGACGTTTATTTGAAGCGGTCCCGGTGCCTCTTCAGAGCGTTCCCTTTGCACGCAGATGAACGTGGTTGTTCTGGGGAAGCGCTGGGTCTGAACATCGGTGAAGTGCTGGCAGGGGCACGTGAAGGGGAGGGTGAGGTGGACGGAAAGCGTTAACGAGGGCAGCCGTCCGGTGGTGAGCTTTAGGCTTCGGAAAAAGTGGGTGCTGCGCGTGCCGATGGTGACTTCAGCACTTACTGGATGCAGAGTTTAAGGGAGAAAGGCATGAAGAGCAGGAAACTTGCCTTTTTCCACACTTACTGCTACTGATTTTGCCAACGCTTTTGGTAATAGTTACCCATTCCACATTTTATCAAAAAAACATTATTTAGAAGTAAAAATCGTGTTTTCTATGTGCATCTTTTTGGGGGTACACTCATATATCTAACACACAGTCATGCTAGGGTACAATTGATTGACACAACTAAACCAACGTAACAGTTTGATGTTAGGGGAGATGGGTTTTCTTCTCCCTGATCACAACCATTCATTCCCGTGTACCAGCATTCATCTAACCTGGTAAGAGGGCAGGGAACTAGAGCAAAAGCAAGCTACTTCTACACAAAAGCAATTTGCTTCTGAAGAAGCAGACAAGCTTTAAGGAGGTATCTGCGTTGTTTGGCATAGTCTGATTGTACCCTTCATCTTCTGGATTATAGGATCTTGAAGGCTAAGTACTGATAACTCTGGAACAGCAGGTATGACGGCCTTTAGCGAATAGGTACGTGATGAAAAGGTAGTTATTTCATGAGAAAATGGGGGGTTTATGTACTTTGTCAGCGATGGCTGTGGTTGATGTCATTCTGCGTGCTCTTTCTCCATGTCCAGCCTCTCTCTTTTCCACTCACTATGGTGCAGATTCCCACTTTGTCACAGCTCTAGAGTACTGCTCCGTAGGGATTGGTGCGATCCTGCCACGCGGATGGATTTGGTGGGACTGAGGAAAGAGGAGCACTTAGAAATCCTCCTTTCATTACCAGAGTGGTCTTGCTCACAGCTCTCTGTGAGGTGTAGCGGGACAGTCCTGCCTGACGCAGATCACTGTATTCCTTTTCGCCTTGCATGTTTTAAAAGATGTAAGTCTTTTTAAACAAGACATGAGTCTGGTGTTCTAAAACACAGTAGCCGTAATTCTGCAGGACCATCCCTTGAGTAGCTCTGCAGCTGTGCTGTCATCTTTGCACCTGCTCCCTCTGGAACCATGGCATGATCCAGAATTTGGGCTGTTCACTGAGCCAGAGGACTGAAAGAACTGAGGTAAGAGTTACCTTCCAATTACATAAATGGATTTGGAAACAGGTGAAGTTTCTGGTAGTTATGCTTTCAACTTCCATATCCTTACAGTTCTTACTACTTGGCGTGTTTTATTTAGGCACTGTGCTTTGCACTCTGCTGAAACCTCATCTACGTTTTCAGAAAATACGTTCAGATCTTTCCACAAGCTCAGAGCAGGGAGTGGTAAGCACCAATATTTTTTTATTTCTGAGTTTCTGGTTTTGCTCCCTCCTTGACACCCCACTTTTCTTGGTTAGGTCTTTTCCCTTACTCTGTT